ATGGAGACTATTTGGCTGGCCTCATGCTTTCGAATATGAATAGAAATCCCGAAAATAATGTCAATTGCAAGTTTCTTTTTAAACAAGTAATAACTTAAAGAATTGTGTTTGTCGAAAAAGAACCATAAAATGTTCAATTTATTCAGAATTTTTTTTGGATTATAATTCGCACAGTTTTTCTATCGTGGTTTGCAAAAAGTGATTAAAAATGTTTGTAAAATTAAATGAGTGTTTTTGTTATTTGAAATGTTATTTGTCGACAATTGTAGACATTTTAGAGTAAACTGGAACTTTAAATTCAAATTGAAAAATTAAATAAAAACATTTTTAAAAATGTTTTTCTTTTTCTTTTTTTAAGACTTTTAGGTGTTAAGTCAATATCAAATTGAGTAATATATTTAACGTTGAATATTATGATTAAGATACTTAATTGTAGTGACGGTTTTCGAAGTCAATTTAAATTGTTAAAAATTAAAAACAGATGTATTATTCTCTTTAATTTTAAGTATGTATATTTTTGATAAAACACCAAATAAATTTGCGTAAATCAAGTTGATGAAATGTCACTTCAAATGGCGACAAAACGCTCATCACAAACGTTCGTCGACTAAGCAAATTGCTACAAGTAATGAAACACTCAGAGATAGTTAAAAATAACAATAATTTGATATTTTTAGTGATTTTTGTTATCATTCAATTATTAATTTTATTTAAATCACAAGGATAAAAATACATTAAAATACTCAAACGAATTATAAACCACATTTTCATATATATATATGAAGACTCGAAAAGACTTATTGCGCCAGTTTCTGTTGAAGCTTTATTTCTAAAAGTGACAGATGTTATTTTAATTGACGAAATATAAATGGTACACAAAGAGATATTGAGATGTATTAACACACTAATAAGACAAATTCCCTTTGTTACGTACCCAGATCGAAACATTTCACGAATTCCTTTTGGTGGCAGATTTGTGGTCGTTGGGGATTTCAAACAAATACTTACTGTTATTACAAATGGTACTAAAAACGAATTTATCCACAAATATGTGAAAATAGTTTTCTTTGGAAATTGTTCAAAGTGTATTACCTTTCAACAAACATGAGAAGTGAGGATATAATATAATACTTTTAATAATTGGTTTCTTAATAATTATAGAGAACAACAGGACAAAAAAATATAGGAACTTCAAATTCTAAAATTGTTGATATTTCAGACAATTTAATACGTTATGATGTTGTAGAGTCATTTTTTTAATAATTTGGAATATTTGTATAATGTGCTCTCGAGCAATTTTGGTTGGAAAAAATAAAGATGCAGCTGTACCAAATGAATGTATAATAACCAAAATACAAGGTGAACCGAAAATATTTGAAAGTATTGGTTAGGTTGACCAAGAAGAATCGGATAAAATACAAAATACTCCTACAAAATTTTTAAACAGTTTGGATCCTCCTGGGATGTTTCCTCATAATCTAAAATTAAAAAAAACTTGTTGTAATGATGTCAAGTAACTTAAATTTAAATTGTTTTTTTTGTAATGGAACCCGTTTAAAAATTTAAAAATTTTTGGAATAACTTTATTCCAAAAATTGACTTAAAGAATCTAAACGTATTTATCCCATCCCCCAAATGGATACAAGCGTCAATGATGTGAAACAATGTTATATAAAATTTTATTGAAAACAATTTCCTCTCATACAGGCTTTTGCAATAACTATAACAAATTACATAATCAAGGTTTTGACAGTATTAGTATTGATCTTAGGTACCATGTGTTTTCTTATAAACGACTTTACATTGCTTTATCACGTTGTAAAAATCCAGAAGTTTTGAAAGTAATGTTAAATAAATCAAATTTATCAAAATCAAAAATTTATACCAATGAAATATTAATTATTGTTTATATACAAATTATAAATCAAATATATTATAATTTAATATTATAATATTTTAATATATTTTAATATTTTAATTATATTATTAAATACTTTTTTTTAATATAAAAAAATTTAATATAATTTATAATATCAAGTATCCCGTCGCACTATGACGGGTATATCCTAGTAATTTAATAATAAAAACAATTAGTTAAATTTATTAAAGTAAAAAAAATATCACCCTAATTTTATTTATAATATTTTTAGTAAAAAATAGTATAAATATAATACGATAAAACTAATAATAATTGTCGATTTCAATAAGGTCAACTCAAAAATATCAAACAAAAATGGGCAGACGTACAAAAGGAAATAATAAAAAATCAAGTAAAAAGGTTGTACCAAAACAAACACACAATGAAGAGGACACAGTTGGTTCGAAAGTGCCCCCTTCAGTCATGCCGAAAGAATCGATCACTAAAGAAGGAGTAATTGCGCCATCTAAGAAAGAAAAAAAGACCATTTTAGTCTGTGTGAGCAACTTGGATAAAAATGTCACAAAAGAACAGTTAGAGCAACTTTTTATGACTGTTGGGAAAGTTCTAAAAGTTTCGATACCAACTAACAAGAAAGGTAAACCTAAGAGTTGCGCGTTAATAAATTTGGATTCAGATGAAGCGGTAAATAGAGCTGTAAATAGTCTGAACAAGACGAAATTGAATGATCAAGAAATCACTGTCGAGAAGAAAACGATCGATGAAATGAATATTTCAAATTTATCAATGAAAATGGGACTCACTAAAAGCTTAACTTTTTTGAAACCTTCAGAAGAATTAGACAATTTGAATGCACGAATTGAAAACTTGAAAAAGAGAACAGCTCGGATGTCGGACATGACAGACAAACAAAGAAGAAGGAACTATAAAATTGAAAGAAAAGCTATTCTCAAAATAAAAAAGGCCGCTGTGAGAGAATGTAAAAGACAAGAAGAAGAGGCCCAAAGCGTTGCCACCGAAGTAAAAACTGATAAAGAAAAAGATGAAAAGAAAATTGAACAGACTGATTAATTCCTAAAATTATAATTTTTTTTCAAAATTTTCGTCTTTATTGGGATATTTCACGGTCTCCAGAAATGGGGGGAGGTCGAACACTTAGGTTTTCCAAAATTCGATAAAACTTGGTTTATTTCTTAATAATTATTAGTAAGAAATTGATTATAATTACTTTTTTTCTCTATTTTTTCGGGGAAAACAAGAAAAAAAGAGAACAAAGATTATGGAAAATTGTAAAAGAATAAAAGAAATGGCAAAATAACAAGCATTTTGAGGCAAAATGATAATTTGGTAAATAATTAAAAAAATTTACATTTTTCAATAAGAAAAACGAGAGAATGGACAAAACCTATAAAAAATTATCATTTTTTAAAGTGAAATTTAATAATATATTTTTTAGTAAATATACTATACAATATTATGTTTGATTTGGCCATGATTATACTTATATTTTGGGATTTGATCAATTACAAATGAGAAACAATCTATGATTCTAATACAGACATAATATGGTGAATAATATTTAGTTTTGTCACAACATCACAATTAGAAATAAATGTGCTTTTTTAAAAATAATCTTTGGTAAATTAAACTCTTTTTTATAATTATTACATTTTTGAGATGTTGTTTTTGTTTTTTGTCCCATAAAGTCAGTAATGTTCATATTGTCTTGTGAATTGTAAAGAAAAAACCATCTATCATACATTTTTGGGAAATAATTTATACAATTATTTTTCTAAAAAATGTTTTACGAAAATAATGACATTATGTGAGCGCATTTTATGTAATTTCTTAATAAAGTAAAATATAGTTATTTCATGATTGAACAATTGTTTTGTTTTTCAAGTTCAATAAGATATAAAACAAGAGGGTATTTTTTAATACAAAATTGGAAATAATCAATTACCAATCAATGCCACACAATACACAAAAAATGGTAATTGTTTGTTTCAATAAAGTTGAAATGTAACAATAAATGCATTTTTGGATTAACAAATACACATTTTTATTTAAATTAATATGATTTGGACTTTATTATCTAATAAAATAATATAATTCGATTAATCATAGTCTAATACTTTTATTGTTTTATTATAGTTAAATAATATATAAACCCATAATCTTTGAAAATCATTGGTAATTCAATTCAAAAAAATGAAAAAATAATAAAAAGTAATTGAATTGTGTTTATGGTGGGTTTGGTTTGAATTGTTTTTAAAATTATAATAATTATAATATGTTAATCAATAATATTAATTTCGATTTGTGTTAAATAAAATGAACTTATAACAATTTACACAATAAAACAATAAAAGTTATAGTAATCAATTCCATTTATTTTAATATTTTTAAACTATCTTTGTTTCAACTTTATTCACAAATTAAATTTGTTGTGCTTTTCCTCAAATTTTAAGTCGAATGATCTTATTATAATAAATGTTTAGATTCCATTTTTTCAACACTACCCTGATTCCCTTCATCATTTTTGTTGTTTTTTTATTTTTAGTTTTTATACAGATAACATTTTTTTCTCAATATTATGTTATCAGAGAATCGATATTTTGCTTTGCTCACTTTTTTACTACACCAAAAAAAACTGTGTTATGAAAAAGAAAATCATAAAAATTATTATTTATCTTTTGTCTCTTGTTTTTATTTTTCTTTTGTTTTCTCGACGATTTTGAGAAAATAAACCCCAAACCTTTGTGTTCGGTCCCCCTAAAACTGGAGACCGTGGATATTTATTCAATTTTTAATGATTTTCTTTTTTTAGTTTATGTTATGTTATTTACATAATATAATTATAATAAACAGGTAAATTATTTAATAAACCACAGATTTCCTGATTTTTAGTTAACATTGAACGAATGATTTTTGTTAACTGTTATTTACGGTGTAAACTCTTCAAGTTATAAATTGAATTATAATTTATAATATTTTTAACTATAATATTTTTATCAATTTTAATAACAATGCGACTTTTTTTACTAAAAATGATTTTTTATTTCTTGACAACATCAGCCATAGTAGAAATAATGAGTAAAATGTTATAAATTATAGTAAATTATAAAAATATAATATTGACTCGAAGCTCAATTTTAGCAAATACTTTTATATAAATCAATAATTCTGACTTATTTATGAAAAAGTTTACTTTTTGAGATCTTTCTGTGTAAAAACTACATTTTTACAACCAATGCCATTCTTTCTGAAGTTTTCCGAGACTTTGAAAGTGACTGGAAAGTCGACAATTTTTGTGATAATTCCATTTGTACTGATTTCCCTTACATTTTCACATTTTTCAAAAACACATTTCTCGATTTGAGGAATACGCCCTGCAAATTTTAGGGTTTTCAGTTTTTTGCAGTTTTCAAATGCACATTTCTTGATTGATTTGAGAGACTTTGGCAAGTTAATTTGTTCCAAATTAACACAGTTTGAGAAACAGTGTGTCCCGATTGTTTCGACGTGCTTGCCAAATACAACGGTGGTAAGTGAATAACAATCTCTGAAAGCACTGTTGCCAAGTGAAAGCACGTTGCCAGGAATCACCACGTCTTTCAGGGACGTCATTCTATAAAACGACTTTTCTGTGAGTGTTGTGACACTTTTAGGGATGACGATTTTTGAAAGCGACTCACAACATGAAAAAGTGTTATTGTATGTGTCACACGTATTTAACTGGTTTGTAATAACAACTTTTGTGAGTGAATGACACTTCTTAAAAACACCACTGTTGGAATAGATCGAGTTTGGTGCACTCACTTCAACAAGACGGTTGCAGTTGTTGAACGCCTTTTCTCCAACACAAGTGACTGAATTTGGGATCACAATGGTAGTCAGTGACACACAATATTCAAACGCCTCTTTCCCAATCAATTTCAGTGATTTTGGGAGTTCAACATTTTGGAGGGAATAACACCGCAAAAACGCGTATTGTTGGATTTCCAACAGTGCTGTAGAAAGTGTCACACTGCTGAGGTGATTGAAATTCATACAACACATTTCTTTGATGTACAACACATCATTTGGAAATGCAAGTTCTTTTAATAGTCGACTTGTTGTGTTGTCTTCCTCAAACAAATCGACCTTTTGGAATCCACTTGGGATGTAATGAATTGCTTTGAAATGCCGATTGTTAAAGATCAAGTTGCTGCATTTGATCCCCAAGTGGTGTAACAATTTCTTCTCTTCCACACTCACAAACCCATCAAACTGTTGTTTCCCACACAAATCAACACGAGTGAGAGACGTGCAGTTTTCAAACATATTATCACACAGTTTTGTGCATGTTGTCGGGATCGTCACTTCACTGAGATATGAGTCAAATGTGGACTTGCATTCACACACAGCACCCAAATTAATACAATCCAACCCACTCCAATCAAAAAAGCTTTCTTCAATTGTAGTGACATAATCAGGAACAACTACACTGTCGACATCATTTGCACGGAACCTTCCTCCAGCAAACGTGTTGATCATATTTGGGTTGACATACTCAAGCGTCTCAAACGCGTCTCCACATGTGAATTCAAAGTAAATGTTGTGGCAGACATACCCAAGACTGCTCAGGATGTGCTCGTCTTCAGATGAAATTAAATAATCAACATTTTTGTTTGTGTTTGGTATCACCAATTTGGTGAGAGACGTGCACTGTTCAAAGCAGTACATCCCAATCACACACTTCTCGTTCAATACAAGTTCTTTGAGGAAACAACAATTTGAAAAACACAAATCGCCAATTTGAGTCACCTGTTCTGTCTTGTTGATGTATTCAAGTCTTTTGCAGTTGCTAAATAAATACTCGGGAAGTTCAGTGACATGCGGTGACATCACTACAGTCGTCAAACATTTCATATCATTAAAATCGATTTGAACAACTTTCTCGACGTCTTCACCAAAGTAAAATGTGGTGATGGCATTTTCTTTTGCTACATTCAATTTAGATATTTTTGTGTAGTTGTTTGGTAAAATATACGTGGCGGTGTTTGGAATGTTGATTTCTGCTATTGTTGACAGCGTTTTTGCATTATCTGTATCAAACACTTGTTGTTCATTTTCATTGAAAATGCCATTTGAAATGACGTCAAAGTCACTGTAAAATTTACTGACAATTTGAACCTCCTCACTTGTAATTTTATATCGCAATTTCCCGTTAATTGTTGGAAGAACAAGTTGCGTCAAATTTGCCATCTTTTCAAAAGTGCCTGGCGCATTTTTACAGAGATTTGGAAATGCCAAACTTTTCAAACTTTTGCAGTTAACAAATGATTCATTTTCGACATACAAGACACCCTCCGTGTTATCCAAAGTCTCCAAATTCTCACAACAATCAAAAGCTTTCGATTCTATCAACACCAAAGTGGTGGGAAGAACAACTTTTGTCAACTTGTGACAATTTGAAAATGTGAAATTTGGGATGTATGTCAAATCGTTGAGAAATACGACTTCCTCCAATTTGGTGTTGTATCCAAAAAGTGATTTTCCAATGAAATTGACGCTTTTTGGAAATGTGAATGACACAAATCCACACTTGTAAAACACCTCATCTTCTATCACACAAAGACACTCTGGAATATCAATTTTGGACAAATGGACACAATTGTAAAAACACTGATTTGGCAATCGTCTGATGCATTTTGACAGTGTCACTTCCTGGAGTTGCTGATTGTAAGAAAACAGCTGTTCTGTTAGATTTTTGATGTGATCAGGCACTACAAATGTCTCAACTTGTAAATGGGAATCAAATTCAAAGCCAAGCGTATTAACACATTGTGGGATATTTAAAGTAACATCATTGTTTTTAGCGTCTTTTTTTGACAAACTGACATTTTTGAATACCACATCATATTCACTAAACAGTGTTTTGGACTCTTGCAAAGAGACGGGGTACCACACAACAAGGCGGTGAATATCAGGTATTATCATGTCGTTTTTGGTATATAAGTGCTGCGTCTCTATGAAAGGAAAAATCTTTATATCAGAAACAGATATCGGATTATAACGGAAACGATCAAGTAATAATCGGTATTTCTTGTTGATTAACACAGAGTTGATGAAATCACTTTCAAAATAGAAATACTGTGAGACTATTTGAAAAGAATATATGTCGAGTTTGCTCATTATTAATTTTTAAAGTTTGTTTAAGTTGGTTATATTTGTTGTTTTGAAATTCAACATTTTTAATTAAATAAAATTTTATATAAATGATTTTGTATTGGTAATATCATTTAAATTTATTATAACAGTTTTTAAATGATTTGTAAATGCAGTATAATCAGGGCAGGCTTTTTCACCTCGTCTAAATAAAGAATTTATTAACTATTTTAATAAAATTTCAATTAAAATTATAGTAAATGGAAACTTGGGATAATATTTGGTCGAATTCCCGAATTAAAAATGTCTCGATAATTCACCTCGAGTTAGTGAAAACCGAGTGAAACAAACCAGAAAACAAACCTCTGAAGGCCGCACTCAAACAGTCTGTTTGTGCACCCGTTCCACACACTTTCAATGTCCTTCTTAGAGCAGACCCCAATGAAGTCCTTGTTTGAAAAGGGAACCACATCCATGTCCACACAGTACGGACAAGGAAAGTGGGTGACATGGGGACGCACAAACAGTAGCTCAAAGGTGGATTTCCTTTAAAAAACACTCGCGGCAAATACTATATTTTTGTTAAGGTGGTGGTGAAACAAGTGTGTTTCAATACAAAAAAAACAAATAAAAAACAAAGTTTATATTGTTCTTTTTAGTTATTTATTATTTTAATATTAAATAATTTATTATATTATAGTACTGAAAAATAGTTCCAAATACAAAATTATTCCTTTTCCAATTAAAAACAATTATTCTAATTAATTCAAATAAAACCCAATCATTTTACACGAATTTAAACAAATAATAAGACTATGATTATAAAACTCAAAAGTGCTGTTTTTATTATTTTTACTTATTTCGGTTTTAATTATTTTTGAATGAATTAAACCCAATTATTTAATTATCCTGAGGATGGTCGTTTATACCATTATTTGTATTTAAAAAAAATGGTTTTAAATTTTATGTGTCGGGGAGGCGGTTGTGATCTACATATATCATTTTCATTCAAAAACCAAATTTTAAATTAAATATGCATTAGTAACTTGTGATATTACAAATGTTTTTCTAGTTCAAAGATAAAAAATGAAAGAAAACAAAAATTCAATGATAACATCAATAAAATAACAACAAGGAAAAGACAATAATAAAATTTCGTGGAAATTATACACTGTCGTTGCTGTGAATATCCCTTTGATTGAATACTTTTCTCCTTCCTAAACCATAGTTGTGATGATTCACAAAGATTGCTTTGAAACATATTTTAACAGAAACATGAAGCAGATGAACATAGATAATACCAACAACTGTGGTAAATTGTTATTTCCCAACAACTGGTCTATTCTGAAAATCGATAATTTGATGGTATTCTTGGTTTCTTGTTATTTTCAATGTGTAGCAAATGACAACAAAATAGCTTTGATTATATGTATGGTAGATTTGGCAACGTTTTATATAGATCAGTCATGAGTCAAGAAAAAGTCAAACATTATAAGGTCACTTAGATTTGACAAAGATGCAGCTATGAAAGTAGAACATGAAATTGAAATTGTAAATAAAAAGAGACAAAAAGATAAAACAAACAAAAAAACAAAGAAGTAATCGAAATAAAAAACAAAATACCCAATTTTTATTAACACACTTCTTCATTTTATGACCAACAAGAAAAAGAACCGAATTATTTCACACCTCAACAATTCGATGCAATAACGTTTCCTACCACTCAATTTGACTATTTTTGTGAAAACAATTCAATAAATGACGATATAATTGAAAATGGTGATAATGAGAGCAATGATAAAACTGAAGATACAAGTGAAGATGATGAAATTTACCGTATAAATATAGACACGGACGAATTAAGTGAAATCCTACATAAAAACAAATTCGAAGACTTGAGTAATTATTATAAAATACAAGTACTATTTGACATGTTTGTGGAAATTTTGACCAATGATTATGTCGAAAATACAATAAGTGGTAATCTGTGCATCAATGAGCAATTGGTTAAATATTTTGGACATTGTAGATTCAGGCAATACATACCTTCAAAGCTCAGGAAATATGGTATAAAATTGTGTATGGTTGTTGACAATGGAACTGGAATGGTTATAAACATAATACCATTTTTGGGAAAAATTGGAGGTGAAACTGTAGAATTTTACATCGAAAATATTGTAACAAAACTCGTTTCTAAATTTACAAATAATAAATTTTGTTTGTTTGTGGATAATTTATTCACTTCTTTTAATTTTGCAAGAAAATTGAAAAAAAGTATTGATGTTGTTGGTACTTGTCGTGCTAATCGTTCTTTTGTTCCAAAACAATTCAAACAAAAAATGCCATAAAAGTTTTATATCGATCGAACTTGATCAAATTGAATATCCAGAGTAACTAAAACTACCATTTCCAATATTCATGTTAAACTATTTCGATAAAAGATCAAAATCGGTAATTTTTTTGACAACAAGAGAAAACGACATGAAGTTTGATAAGAAAAATGGAACATTTTATATCCAACAAAGTTACAACAAAGGAATAAGGGAGTCGACACATTGATAGCATGGTTAGACATTTTACATGCAAAAGAGGCACTCGGAGATGGCCAATTGCACTTTTATTCAACATGATTGATATATGTGCTCTAAATGCTTATCAAGTTCATGGTCGACAAACAGAAAGAGAATGGTGGTTAATAGCTTTGTTTCAACAACTTGTAAAAATGAATGTTCTGCTCAAAGTTAGTAATTACGACAGATTGGCCGAAGGAGCAATAAAATGTGGGATAGTAATTTACGAAAAAGTTTCAAATGAAGAACGAAAAAATACTACAACATATAAAAATGAAGATATAAAAATATACAATAAATACTCAATTAAATTATTCAAACCAATTGAAGAAAGACTCGATTTCGAAAACTCCATTCAAAGAAAAAAGTCAAGTTATCATCTAACAAAGTATCCAACTTTGAAAACGTGTAGAACAAGTGTTGGAAAATACGAGGGAAGAAGTAATGTGGGTTGTTATTACTGTTGTGTATCGATTTGATTTATCATTGTTTTTTGTTATGATTGTTCAAATTACTTTGTATCCAATAAAAAAATAGCACAGAAATAAAAATATTATTTTTATTAATTAATTTTATTATCATTAACTATATACAAAAATGAAAACGTTATTTTAATAAAGATTAATTCTCCAATACTTTATTACAGTAGTGGTATAAACCCATTTAATTTGGAATAAACCCACTTAAGTGAGTAAATTTTGTGAAACTTTGGTTGAACTTTAAGCCAAAATAGAAAAAACTTAAGTACCACCCTTTATAAATTGGAAAATGGGTTTGATTGGGTCTTTTTCTTGTTTTTTGAGAAAAAAGTCAACTTTGTTTGAAAAGAAAAAAAATATTTGAAATGGTTTTTTATTTTAATTGAAATAAACTTAAAATATAGCTTTTGTTTTTTACAAAATTCGTTTCGAAAAGTATTTTCTTTTGACAAAAAGAAGCTCAAAAATGTTTAAAAATGAAAAAAATCAATGACGAGCACAACAGACTGGCTTGAAAATAAAAGCCGGATTGAATCTGTGGTCTTTTTTGTGCACATTATTTCAACATTTGGTTTTTAACAAATAACATTTAAAAATATTTCATTAAAGTTGTTGTTATAGTTCAAAAAAATGATTGAAAGATAAAAAACATAAACAAATGAATTAAAATAAACGAGAATTCAAACATTAACAATAACAAATAAATAACATTTAAAAAAATTGGTGAAAAAACGGGATAATACGAAGAATTGTGTTTTTTGGATTGAAATCGAAATTATTATTTTTTAATTTAATAAACTTCAAAGTCGGCATTTTTAAATTAAAATTTTGATCTTTTGTTGAAAACTGTTTTAAAGAAACATTTGGAACAAAAAATAAGTTACATTTTGTGTAAATCGTAAAATGTCGTTTTTTACACAAAAATGTAAAAATCGTACACTTTTTGGTCAAATACCAAATGGATTCTGGATTCGACAAGTTTTCCACTCAAAGCATAAAAACAGTGTTTAAACTTGAAAAGGACTTAAAAAATCATAAAGTCTTCACCAAAACAAATCAACATATAGCCCAAGTTTTGCAAATGTCATGGAATAAATTTAAATTAACTATTTTTTCTTTTTTGTTTGTTTGTTATTAAAATGGTATTAAAATGTTATTTTTAATAAAAAATAATTTGTAATTTTTAAAATATTTTTGTCTTATAACATAATTTCAGTTTTTTTTAATTTTTTGTTATTTCCAAAAATAAAACCAAATATTTACTCACTTAAGTGGGTTTATTCCAAATTAAGTACTTAAATATTGCCACTGTATATTTAATTTCTATATTTATCAAAAATGTTATATTAATATCACAACCATTTTTATAAAATTAAACCGGAGTAGAATTAAACCCTGATTTGTAAATATTTTAATATTTAAAAACTGCGACATATTTGCACTAGCCCATATAACAATTTAAAAAACAAAAAAAAAACATATAAATTGTTACAAGAAAAAGAGAAAAAAAACTCATTATTTTTTAGATGAAATTTCTTTAAGCGATTGAATCTTTGTTTTGACATATAAAACTTATTATTAACTTGTAGAACCATCTTTTTGAATTTTCTTTTTCATAAATCTATTCAAGAAAAATCAAGAAACAACAAAACATCAAACGTATTTTTAAACCAAACATCATTTCAATAGTAATAATGGGCTAATAATTTATTAGAAAAACAATAAAAATGATGAGATATGTTTTTTTTTCAAACACATCTTTTTAAAACAAAATAAACATGACATATTATAACTCCAATCCATATGATTGTATTAAAATGATACTTAATCTTTAAACCCACGTTATAAGTGGTAATATAATGAGAATAAAACTTTTACTTAAAAAATAATTCACAACAAAAAAATTAACAATATGTGTCATTTAAAAAAACACATTTTTTTATAAGAATCTGAAAGTGTTTATAATCATATTTTAATT